TCTACCTTCGGGAACCTGGAAGAGCACTATTTCTAGCAGAATAGCAAATGCCTAATTTCCTTTAAAGGCACTGTTCACGAAAAAATGGTTTCGGATATTTGCACATGGTTTGAATTCGACGCCTCCTCTGATACCATTGTGCAGGAATGAGGTCGGAAAACGGTCTGGATAGGGCACAATAAGGGGCCGGAGAGTGAGCCACGGTCGCCCTCCGCCCCTCGCTAGGCTGACTACGAAATCTAATTGCCGTTCACCACTTTCGCATTGGAGCGAAGTCGGTGAAAAATCGATAAGCTGGTTGGCAAATTGCCAGAGTCTGCCAGTCAGTTTGTCAGGCAAACTGGGTGTGTTGTCTGCTATTGCAGACATTGCGTCGCCTTCGTGCATTCGCCCGAACACTCCCTTAACCGCCGTTCTTCCAATGTGAACTCGTCCAACCCCTCTTTACAGCTCTTTTTTGACCCTTTCTATTTCTTTTGTTCATCGTTTTTTGCGCTTTTTTCTTTGTTAGCGCTTTATTCTAGAGTAGTTCTATCAATTCTCGTCAAAAAAGGGTACCCTAAATTGATCGTAAACGGTGCCTTTGAAGCTGTCTGGAGGGGTCACGCCAACAGTCAAATTCGTTCACTTTGAACGAACTGTAAACCACGCTTGAGGTTCAGACTCCTTCCCCGTCAAACTTACCGGATTTTATGAGCGAGTTGCCTCTCTACCATTTTCTGTGGATGCCGATCATCGTATGGCATCACTCCCGTCACCATTACATATAGTACTATGCCTGCACTCCATATATCGACCTGAAAACGGCCACAATATTATATGAGACCGAAACCATCGTATTGAATGGTTTCGTACGACGAATTTGTGGGTGGACGTGTTGTCACTGACGACAAAATGTTCTGAACAAAACCCACCGGCGGACCACTATAGGCGATAGCTCTAAGAATCTCCGGAGCCACATAAGCCCTGCTGCCACAAAAGGTGCTAGACTTTTGATTTGGCTTCAGATATCGAGCAAAGCCAAAGTCGCCTAACTTCACGTTCTCATTCCGATCGAGAAGCACATTTTCACATTTTAAATCGCGGTGAACGATGTCGCAGTTTTGTAGGTACTGAAACGGCTGATTCGAAATTAATTCCCATAAAACCAGCTCCTCCACAAGAATCAGAATTTGCTAGTTATAGTTTCGCCTATTCTACTGAGAAATCAGGATGCAAACATTGAATGAACTAACCATGAGTGCTTCGACCAGCTGTCGAAAAATTTGCTTGGCCTCTGGCTCCGGAACCCTCTTACATTTCTTTATTTTCCGTAATAAATCACCGCCATCACAATACTCCGTTACAAATATTGTATAGTGAGTGATTTCGAAGATCTAAAAAATGCTCCATTTCTTTGGGTGCTTCACGCTGCAATCTGTTGTAATTAGATTTCGGATAGGAAACAATCCTTCGTGGCCCAACTCCTGGCAACAAAAATTTGCACTTTGCATTTTTTTTAAAGTCGAGACGAACCAATGG